AATTCATAAGCCACTCAATTTTTTATGTATTATAATACCTTCTGGTCACATTTCCAAGCTTTTCTCTGCCTACTAGAGAGGCAGGAACCTTTCTTTTTTTATTATTTATATACACACACACACAAACAAACATAAACATGTAAAAAGAAAAGTAAACCTCATCAGAGGATTACAGAAGCTCAGGCCTTAAGACAGACAACAACTATTACAAGACTTGCAATAGATTTGCAGCTGGTGTTTGCTTATTAATTACGTCCAGTTGTTTTGAAGACTGCATCCAGGGTTTAACAGTACACAAGGCAACAGCTTAAGGCAGAAACAAGTACAACATACTGCAGAATCTGCACGTAAAATTTCACTCACACAAAACCAAATTGCCCAAACTGGTATTTGACCAGGGTGTAATATATTAACACACCTATTCACCCAAAGCTTATTAAAGAGCAAAAGGTTTGTCAGCCCCTCGGCCACTTGTGTCACCTGAAGAGCAGCGGGTTTGCCAGCACCATGGCATCGCCTGCTCAGCGTCACCAAGAGAAGGATCAATTACCAATCCACACACACATTTTCTTTGCTCCTCCAGCATTTGATTCTCCACTCTGCTCCCACAGGGCAGTGCCAGCATCAAACACCGCTATTGCCATCAACCGCCATCCTATACTCAGTCGGCTCGTGCGTAAATGATACCTGTGGCACCAGGCAGGGAGGATGTGGGCAACAGATCGGTGGGTTTTCTCAGTTCCCCATCAATATGCCCAAGGCCAGTCCTGTTTCCTCGTGCACCAAGCACATAGCCCAAGCCAATACAGCTGCCAGTACAAGTTACAGGAAAGGTGCCCCCAGAAGCATGGGAGGACTTTTAGGGACAGGTACTACAGCAAAGCCCCTACTTGGAGGATCTTTAAAGCTAAAGAGCTGCAAGGCAGCTCCTCGCCTCAGTACACACAAGCTGCCATACTAGCTTTGAGAAGCCACCCTGCTCTGTACCCTATAAAACACAGCTCCCAGTACTAAAAATTAAGTGCGTATATTAGCTTTTGCACAACTGGGACCTGACCCACTGCTCCTCCACCACTGAAATCAACTGGAAACACAACACTTCACTGTCTGAGAGCTAAACAGAACTGCAAATGGCCAAAACGCTTCACAAATGAGGGAAGGGGGCTGGTATGTAACAAAAAGCAAGAAAACGACAGAGTGGTGAACTGCAGAGCCTATCTCATTACTGCTATGGTTTTAGCATTGATTTTTTTTAATGGCACACTTCACTCTTGCTCTCACTGTCATGTCAATATTATAGATACAACAACAAAGGGAGGCCTGGGCCTCCTGGAAAGAGGTTCTTTTAAAGAAAGCCTCAAAGGACAAATCAAGTCTACTGTGTTTGACCCTAGGGATGGATGAAGTGTAAAGTCTTTATGGAACCCCAAGGAGTCCAACAGCGACACAGGCATCCAGGCATCTCTCTCATAATCTTCTCATAATTTGCAAAGTGCATCAGGATCCATTTGTAAGGCACCATGTGGCATGCCCTTTATTTAGTCCCAAACACTTTAGAAATTCATAAGATGAGTGCTACACAGTTGTTTTGAAAACATGTTTTCACACTTTTCACCCTATTTCCCCTCCAAGCTCAATTTGAAAGCCCATTTGACATGGAGTTTAGGTTTTACAAAACAAACAAAAAATCTTACAGCTTCTTTCATAACCATATCTCAAATATTGACTGTGTTAACATCATAGCTGCAACAGCTCTATGGTCTGCAACTCAGAGCAGCCAGCCTTCTCCCTGTTCATCAAAACAGAAATCAACCTAAACTGTTTGGCAGGTTGCTCACATGCTGCATCACACCAGACCCCCTTCCAACAGGCACACTTACCAGGAGCCAAGCCAGGCTCTCCAGGTGTGCATTGCATACCCAGCTGATTACACAGCAGTTACCTGTATCTAACAAGGTTAATCAGGATTTAAAAAAAATTTGCTCACCAATAAACTAGGGCAATTCAAGCATTCATTCACACTGTACATAAAGCCACCCCAGAAACATGTAATCACTTAACTTCAAAGCATCAGGTTCATTTTCACCACACAGCAAAATGGCAAAAAGCACAGTAAATACTCCCTTTGGGGACAAACACCACAGTTTCCCATGGAACATAAGTCCCTATCTTAAAAGGGAGTTAGGGTCTACAGTTTTTGCAGTAACAGCATTACACATTTATATGCTAATATGCATCCAGAAGTGATTTAAAGCAGGGATATAACTGGTTCTTTCTCCTCTTACTGCACTGCAGCAAAGGAATATGGCAGTTGTTTAATAGCACATAACAAAATTGCAGGACTGCTCATGGAAGGAAAAATAATCTTCAGAGGAGGGGGATTTAAGTAGGTAGAATGCAATTACCTAAATTGAAATTTGGTGGTTAATGACCTTGTGCTTACAAAAACTGCTACATAGTCCTTAACGATCAGAGTTTCCATTTTAAGTCTCATTGACAATACTTCCATAACAATGATCATGAAGCTCTGGCCTAGTAGAAAGTCAATTAGAAGATTAACAGCCTTTTAATTAATGCCCCATCTTTTTTGCTGAATCTTCAGGAAAGGCCAGGTGTTGCCCTGTGACAGTGACTCAGCCTGCCCCTGCGTGGCACAAGCACATTGGAGACCCAGTAGGCCAAAAGAACAGAGATGAAAAACTTCAGACAGGGAAAAAGCAGGCAACCATATAAATTCTTAGAAGACACAATTTGACTTTCATACAAGCATTCTTTACGAAGAGGCTCATTCCCAGCCAGGGATGAGACCACAGTGAGTGATCTGCCACCAGGCCACGGAACTGTACCATTTCTATGATGCTATAAAAAAAAGTGTGATGCAAAGAACATATTATTACCTGCAAGAAGCCTTCAGGGTGCAGAAACAATCCCCATTCGAAAAAAAGTTACGGGAACTACTTACTTCATGATCCATTCAAAATGAGGACCACAGGGGGTGGGGGTGAAATCAAAGGAGGAGCTGAATCCTCTCCAGTCAGTTCTGCTTTTCAAATAATCTCCTGACTTCACACAGCTGAGCTGAAATCACAGGTCTGAAACAACCCTTTCAAAAGGTTTCCAGCAGCCCCACCATTGCCCTTCACACCCTGGTGTCACATGTAGCCAGGTGTAATGTCATCAACAGGTGATTGAATGAGGGTTTTTTTCCTTCTTTCTATAGCTTCTACTATGAAAAAGTCCTTTTCAGAGTCAAACAGCACACATGTCCAAGGGTTAAAACAAAAGTAACATTTAAACACCAAAATGGCTATATAGTGCCCAATTCCTTGAATATCACAGCCCCAACACCTTAAAGCAAATGCCTTGCTGTGTACCAAATTGGAGGGAATGTTTTGACTGTCTTTTTAGCCAGAAGTAGGGACAGACTCTTCTCTTCTTCCCCCACAACCTCCTTCCCCCATTCAAGAGCAATTCTTCATCCCAAATCCAAGCTATTACTCTTCTCTTATTTTCCAAGTCCAGCCTTTTCACTGAGACACAAATCTCTCGTTTTACTCTGAGCCCACCGCATGCTGGGACAAGATTTCCAGGACATAATAACTAGTGCAGACGCACAGTGATTGAAAGGCAATGCATAATTCAATACAAAGTTTTAAAATTTTAAGGAGCAGCCGGTAGAAAGGAAAGCAGAAAACCTAAACCTTCAACAACTTCTGTCATAACCTGTGCTTGAGACTGCAACACCTTTTTAAGGGCTTCTGAACTTTAAGAAAAGAGCTCAGAGCTGAAACCCAAACCTCTTCCTAGATTTGAAATTGAAACAAATCTCCAGATTCATCAGCCATCTAAGGTCATCTGTTACTGGTGACAGCACCTCAAGACTTCACCCCGGATTTGGCTCCTGAAGCTGAAAAGGCTCTTAAAAAGATTTTGCAAGTCTCTGCTATGTACCCAGACACTCAGATTTAATCTAGAAGCCAATGCATCAATACCATAACAAGCATCCTTATCGACAATACCCACCTAACTAGGAGCTAAGAAACTTCCAGGTAGAAATTACCATCACTTCAGATTTCTGGCCAGAAAAAGGTTCGAGTAAAACTTCAGACCCACCTCTCTGATGATTCATCTTCTTCTCTGCTTCCTTCCTATCCCAAGGGGATACACCAAGTGCCCTCCATCTGTTTTTTATATTGCATCAGGCTCAAGAGCCACAGCGGCCGTTGCTTCCCCGCAGCCTCAGTGCTAATGAGTTGTGCAGGTGGTCGTCATTGCACTGGTGGGTTGCAGAGGTCTCCTTGCAATCAAGGCACCCAGTGTGAACCGTGACACACGTGTGTGATTGCTGACCTCTCGTGCAAACGAAGGATGTGCTCATCTCCCGGAGATCTCTCCCAGGGCATATGGGGCTCAGTATCAAACTCTGGACAGATTCTCCCATTCATTCCTGGCCAGACGTCGTGGCAAGACATCGGCAGGGACACGTGCTAGGTGGAAAGGCAAGGGGTCACCTGGGTATCCTCGCGATGGAGGTCCAGGCGTGGTGGTTCCCTCACCAAGGGCAAGACGAGCTCCCACTAAAGCCTGTACGCTCACAGGGAGGAGAAACCTCTGCCGTTTGTGGCAGCCTGCGGACAAGCTCCTGGGCTAGCAAATCCCGCTCTGTCCCAGGGCAGAGGTGAAAAGGGAGCTGGGAAGTGGAAGAAGGGGCCTTTCTAAAATATCTTTCTTCAACCCTCCCCTCACCCAGCCCCCTGTGACTGGGGCTGTCAGCAGCAGCTCTCTCTGAAGTCCCCTCTTTCATAATCGGCTTCTTTTGATCACACGCTGCAACAGCTGAGGTTCTGTTTAAACGCAAGTGAGGAAAAAAGCAGGTCGTTAAATATGTAGGAAACGTCATTCCTTACCTGCCAGGCACCCCGGGAGGGCAGGGAGATGGAGGGATGGGGCAGGAGGGAGCGAGAAGCGGGGAGGGAGAAGGGGCAGCTCGGAAAGGATATGGGTTGCACACCATTTTGATGCACCAGTTCCGCGGGCTGGTGGTCTGCTTCAAGCAGAAGAAGACAACCGGGGCCAAGTCGGGGTAGGGGACATCAGGGTCCGGCGGGGAGGTGATTTCCTCATCCTCACCCAGCTCCGGGGAGGACGGCGGCTGCTCCGGCGGCGTCGGCTGCTCCGAGACCCCCAAATCCACGGGCTCCAGTGGGCAGACGGCGGAGGCGTGAGGGGGCTGTGGGCCTGCAGGCCAGGTGGAGGGAGGCTGAGGGACGGACTCTGCCATGCCAGCCGCAAGCGAGAACCCCTGGAGAGGAGGGGAGAAAGAGAAATGAAACCCACGTGAGGCATCAGCAGCGAGAGCGCAGCACGCCCGTGCTCTCCCGGCAAGCTCGGAGCAGGGGAGGGCTGCGGGACTGACGGCTCTGGCAAATGATAAACCACAGTCGCGCTTTGTGCCGAAGCAATTTTAAGCAAAACTCTTTTCTGCCAGTCCCTCTCTCCACCAAGACTCCTCCAGCTAGTCCTCTCCATCGCTATCTACATCAACCCTGTAGGTCCTGAGATGCCCCGGCACGGTGCTCCACCATCTCAAGTGATGGTGCCGACTCTTTTGGCAACGGCCTGAGCACCTTAATGGAGCACCGTGCTTTGGAACACAGCCACCCTGCCCTTGCAGTCCTTCACGCGGTCCTGCCAACCCCAGGTCCAGCTCCGCTGCCCCAAGCGCGCCCTCTCCCATCCAGGGACGCGCTGGGCTGGCCGTGTGCCACGCCAGACCGACGCCGGCAAATGCATATGTCAAACCCGTACACAACAGTCACTCGTTCAAACAGGGAGCTGTAACGCAAGCTAGAAGCGGGATTAAATATTAAGCGCCCTTTACTAGACCTTGTGGAGCTCTCCTGCGCCGGGGCAGTGGAATCACCGTGAAGACAGGTTGCAAAAGTTATTCCGCTAAGCAGAATGGTCAGGGAGCGCGGGTGGGTGAAGGAAGAATAGGTCTTACGCTCGGTAGCACCCAAGTACTGCAAAGCACCGTGCTTTTGCTAAAGAACATCGCTTTGCTGGCTGGGTGCACTGAACGGTGGCCTTGTTCTGGGAAAACGCAAAGGCAAACATCCATTAAGTAGCACATTGAAAGTGGCTTGTCAACTGAGGAGAACAAAATAAACTCCAAGGCCTGGCTTTGGAGGGGCGTTACAGTGATGCTCTTAGGAAAGAGAGCTTGCCCAAGGACTGCCTGATGGTGGCCTGATGGGCACTTTCTTCCCTTCACCCTGCTGGCATGCTCAAGCATCTGGAGTGCCCGTGCTACAAGTACAGGTTTAAAAGCAATACAAGAGCCCTCAGACAGACCACAATACAGAAAGGGACTATCAGCAGCAGGAAAAGATGTCTGTCCATGGCAGAGACCTTGTCTCCTCGCGTCCTGGCCATACGTTATCCTCCCAAGGACTTTCCTTAGTTCCCTTCACTTTAGGATCATGCATCTCTGCTGACACTGCTCTGCCTTGGCATGCTGCACCCTTGATGTTTCAGCCCGAGACCCTTTTGATGCCCACACTTCTGGATCCATGATCACCAGTGCTCTCCACAGCACTCATCTGCCAGGTCCGGCCAACCTTTCCACCTTGGGCTGCAGTCCCCCATCATCCCCGGTTAAGACCCTGTGAGCTCTGCCTAGCCACCCTGCTCTCTCAGCTCCCTGCTTCCAACATGCACTTTGATCCAAAGCTTTGCTTGTTCTTCGAGCCTTGGTATTTGTCAGAACAAAGAGCAGCAAGCACAGAGGTTTAGAAAGCAGACATAGTGTCCCTTAGGGGATAGCACAGAGACTCCTTGAATTCATTACCCCAAAGGCCTCCAGCTATTGGAAGGAAACACGTATTGTGTCTCCTGACTGGCTTTGGGATGCTGTTCATAATTTTTTAACCCCTGTGACAGAAGTGGCAGCACATCCTTCCCACCACCCAGCACCTCTGTTTTCACTCTCACCAGGTTTTTAACTCTGAGCACCTATGCAACTCCTTGTACCACCTTTTCCGTTCCCTATTCCCACCAGCTTCCCATTGCCTGCTCTGAGCTGGCTTCCTTGCAGGCTATTAACATGCGATGGCTGAGCCCAGCTTCTTTCCCATTAACAACACGAAGGAGAAAGGTTAGCAGGGACAGCCAGGAGGAATGACTTATTACGGTGCTCAGAGCATCCACACTGATGAGGGCATGACGATTCCAAACTGCAACGTACAAAGCTTCATAATTAACAATACAACTGAGCAAGGGAATGGGAGAAACAACCTCATCAGCGTTTCCCTGCTTTCCCTCCAAGCAAACATTCAGGGCCTCTTCTGCATCTCGCCACTGCCAGATGCAGCTGGGACTTTGGGATGCAGCTCTGCACATGTCACACACGTGCACAAATTGGGTAGTGGCTGCATCACAGGCAGTTTATCGCTCCAATTTGTGCAGCCCAGAATGGCTCATTAGAGGTCATACCGACACAGAGCTAGGTGAATCCCTTTGGAAGTCCTAAAGCTAAATACAGTCCTTGAATGACAGCTGCCCCACTGGAGATGAGAGTAATACCTCTTTCCTTCCTGACATTAAATCCCACTCTGCCACCCAAGCCAGGTCCAAGGCTGTGATCATGGCATATTTCCTACTTTAAGCAGGATTAATATGCTGTGTCAAAAGAGGAAGAGGGGAAACCCAAGCAGTGGGGCACTTCTGAGCTCTTTATGCAGAGTCAGTCCTGCTGCCTCAGCTTCAAAGGGGAAGGGAGTGGTTTTCCTGCCAAAGACAGATCCAGGGTGCTTACCACTACCAGCTCAGATGTGGAGGTTGGAATCGGGTATTTCCACTGTTTTGGCCAGGACAGGCTGCAACTCATGCAATGCTGATATTGTCTCTGGGATTGCAATTACTGGCCTTCCCATGCCGTAGCATTGCTGTGTAACTTGGTTGGAGTGAGCCTATTTAAATCAAAATGACCAAGAGGAATGAGTTTGGCACGCACACACATCTGCATACGCAGAAAAACATGCCTCAACGGTGAGGGTTCCTACCCAGATGAAAGACAGTAATAGTAAGACCAGACAGGATTATAAGGCTCCAGAACTCGACCTCCCCTTTGTGTAAGCACTGCTCACTGCGACAAGGGCAATACGAGAGGACAATCAGGTGGTTATGGGGTGGCCAGATGCACGTTCTTCCCACTCAACCGTTTGCTCAGGCAAGCCTATCCCCAGGTGGCGGTGGCAGGCCAGACCCATCAGTGCAGACCAAATCCTCCCCACCTCTGACTGTTATTTTCCGGCCAAACACCCCCCAAATGCCCAAAAACATTCCCCCGCAAAAGTCGCAAACAGCCAGAGGAGCGATGCTACGCCCGCTGCACTTCCCTCCAGGGGAAGGGAAGGTATTTGCGGGCTGGCAGCTCCTCCTGCTTCTCTCCCTGCACAGCCTGCACCGAAGCCTTCCCCGGAGCCAAGTATCGAGTCAGCACTCTTCCTCCCACTCTCCGTCCCCAAGGGCCATTTAAAACCACCACCATCCCGAGCCGAGCCCCTGCTGGTCCCGCATCTGGCACGCATGCCTGCCCCGGACACGTGTGCTGGCGGGGAGCTCCTTGACTTGGCAGGCATGGGAGATGCCGCCAGCCTCTGGCTCAGCCCTTCCCTGCTTCAGAGAAAGCACCTGATCCTGCCGGACTCCGCTGGGGAAGAAGGGAGAAGGATGCTCTGAAACAGCAAGGGAAGTGGTGGACTTAATGAGCAGGGGAGATTGCTTGGGAGAAAAAAGAGGAGATGTCACGGTTCAGGGGAAGTGCTTCAGATTGGGGGTGTCTGTCCCCAAGGGCCGATGTCACCTCCTGGCACGTGCTGCTCAGAGGGGTCTCTGATGAGACACGCTCCCCTCCAGGGCTGCAACTGGCACCCCGGGGCTGATAATGCCACGACCTGCCAGGCACGCCACAGTCGACCAAAGTGCCACGAGCGACCCAGCCCAAGGTGTCCTGCGGGCATCACGCCCCAGCTGAAGCGGTCTGCTGGCTCCTCGCCACCCCTCCTCGGCAGGGGTTTGGGCAGAGGGGGGCCGTCAGGGACTACGGGTGAGGGAGGGCTGGTGGGACCTTTGCAGTGCTCATCCAGGCCTTTCCTGAAAACCTCTAGCATGCGGACAGGATAGAGGAGACTATTCCATCTTGCCGGTGGAAGAGCCTTCTGCAGCCAGACGGGAGAGGGAAACACCAGAGAGAGGTCCCCAGAGCATCATCCCAGTGCTGGAGGCGATCCGCCCAGAGCCCAGCGGGATGTCTCCACTCCCACACACGGAGCATCCACAGAGTTCACCTTCCCCACCACCACCCTTAGCCCCGTATCCCTCGCCAGCCCACGCTGCCCTGGGACCATCCCTTCCTCCCTGCAGGCTGCTCGCACGGGCAACACCGGGGCTCGCAGCCGAGATGGAAGTGCGGGGTATATTTCCTTTAAGAGCAGCCTTACATGTATACAGAACCTTCCATCCTGAGGGGACATGAGTCCTTTACAGACCATCCATCTCCATCTCCATCTCTTGCGGCTGGCTTCACACAAACCCAGACTTATTTAAGGATGTCTCTGACTGTGCGGCATATTTATGAATGCGTGTGGGTGACCCCACTCGGTAGCTGCGTGTGCGCGTGTGCCTCCCAGGGTGGTCTGTTGTACATGGTTGTGAGTCCGCGTTTGTTTGTTGCTATAAATGGCAAGCACCGGTTGTGTGTTATCTTTGATGCATGCGTCTGGCTGTGGGGATGTGTTAGTCATACAGGTTTCACATTTGGAGCATTCGCAGTGGTACAATATAATTAGTGGTGCACGGCTCCCTCTCTGTTTATGTTCATCTGGCATCGGCGTGTTTCTCTGCCTGTTCGTGTGAGGCAGCGCCTGCTCTCTTCTGCCTGTATGTGCGTGGAGGTGTATCAGTATCAGTAAGGAAAAGGGTCACTTATTAGCAGCTAATTTGAAAGAGGAGCTTTTACATCTCCATCATCTCAGCACCTCCTCATGCAACGGGACATGGCAGAACCCAGCAGAAAGTGTTTCAAACGGTGCC